TTCAGCATGCGCTATCATTGTGGCATCGCTACCTGAAGCCTGTTGGTATTCGCCAAACTTCTCCGGCACTAAAGTACCCGGGTCGTCAATAAATGTTTTGACCGTCTCCACCTGAAATTCGGGCTCATCTTCATGCACAAGCTCTTCCTGTTGTGTAGCTAAACTCTTAGCTTGACTCATACCCCCCGACCTATTAGCGCGCTGTTGCTCACGAATAGCACAAGTTTCCTCGATCATTTGTTTGAGTATGCTACGTGGCTTTGCGTTGCGAATGAACTCGTGGTCCAACAGATCGGAAGCGGTAGCGCGTTCATCGGGATTTTTTACCAGGCACAAGCTAACAAAATCAATAAATTCGGCCGACCATCGATCGGGTTCGCGGAAAGATGGTGGTGGTTTCTGGGGGATCATGAAAATAGCACGCATCGGATGAATGTCACCATAAGGCGGTTTGCCTTCAGCCATTTCTAGTGCGGTTATGCCCAGCGACCAGATATCGGCCACACAGTCATAGCCAATTTCTTCGATAACCTCTGGTGCCATCCAAAACGGAGTGCCAATCACTGTGTTTCGTTTAGCCATGGTATCTGTAAGTTGGCCAGCTACTCCAAAGTCTGCCAATTTGGCATAGCCCTCTGTGTTAAGCAGTATATTTCCCGCTTTTATGTCGCGATGTATCTTTCGACGTAAATGTAAATACACCAAGCCCTGCAATGTATCGGAAAGAATCGTTGCTATTTCATCTTCAGTCAGTGTTTTTTTGCGTAGCCGCATAATATCCGAAACACTGCCAGCACCACAGTATTCCATACATATCCACAGATCATACTGCTTGAAATAGGAACCATAGTAGCGTACCACGTACGGCGAGTCGCACTGCTGCATTATAGAGATCTCCTTGATAATTTCGTGCAGATCGGACGCCACTGGCACCAATTTAATGGCCACAATTGAGCTACTTTCCTTATGCAATGCTTTGTAAACAGACCCATAACTACCTTCGCCAAGTTTGCAAATAATATCGAAAACCTTTTCTGGTGGCTGCAGCAGAGATTCCTCTGAAAGTTTTTTTAACTCGGAAGACATTGTCGTACAATCAAACACCGGGCAGGGGATATAAAATTTCGCTCCTTCACCTTTACTTATTTTCTATGTCCAATATTTTATTTTGCAACCTTTTCCGTCTGTGCTCTTAATTTCTACACAGTGTCTAATATTTTTTAAAAGTTTACGCACATTTTAATGATTTTATTACCCATAAAAGTGAAAAATCTACAAACAGAAAGAACGAAAACGATAAAGAAAAGCGAATATTCTAAGATGGTGATGATAGAAATTTATATCACTGCAGGTGCATATAAACGATAAAATCAACAAAAGCGATTGTGAGTATCGATTAAAAAGCGTACAGTTACTAGATATACAAGGTAAAAGCGGTTACTTTTATTAGAATTTTAGCTGTCACTTTTTTCGAATAGCAGTCGCCCCTCTGCAGGCAATGGCAAACCACCAAGCAAACCGCTACTTTGGTTTTGCCCTTTTTGACAATTCTCAAGTAAAACTAAACAACGTCTCAGATATTTTTTAAATGTACGAAAATCACCTTTTTACATAAATTTAAACCCCGCCGTGGTGTGGTGTTCATCACGCACCACACCGTACAGTATCGTCTCATTGATTCCGATATCGACAGCAACGATACCATCCTAGAATGTCAGGATATTGCTATGGGGTCTGTATTATGGGCAGCTGCTGCAGCTCGCAAGACATAACGATTGTAAACGCTGGTTTGATTAACTGCATAACGTGGCGACCTATGCTGACCTTAGCATCAGCCCATAGTCATCTCGATTGATAAACCTGCCGAAATTGCTTCCGTGGAACACAGAACCTATATCAACTTTTCTGAAGCTGATTGGAAAGGCGTGGGGTTGTCACCGCTGTTGCTCTTTCGGCGACCGCGCCTCGTTGGATCCCAAGGCGCATCAATTACAGGTGATAGCGATAGAAGCTATGCTTCTTCTTATGAGCACGCTTGTGTCAAATTATCGTCTGTTTTGCTTTATTTACATATCCGCGTACACATACACATATACGTATATATATACCCTGCAAACAAATGCTCCCGAAATCTTTAAGAGTGTCGGAAATTTGTTACGATTCTTTTAGAAATCTGTAAAGAAAAACATATGAAGCGGTTGACAAGAACTAGTAAAGAAATATCTGTATGATTTCTTAAAGAAAATTCTTAAAAAAATTGTGAAACCTTTCAGAATTCTATGAAATCCTGGTATGCAGGGTATACATATACACACGAATATGAATAGATAAAGAAGATGTTGATGACTCAAGGAGTTCATACCAATGGTAAATGTTGTTTTTGTACGATTGCTACAACCTGTAGTTGTTGAATCATGGTTGGATCCGGAGCGATGCGCGAGCTACTTTAGGCTATCTGCACACTTGTCGTCCAATCATTGTTGCGTAATCGTCTCGCCCAGAAATTTTGAGCCGAGCACATACATTTCAAAGAAGATCTGCACACTTGTCGTTATCGGCTAGTTATCGGCAAATCGTAGAAGATGCAGAAACGGATAAGTACGGCACTGTCGTTTGCTAATCGTTGTGAACGTATTGTTTGTTTACATTTTATGGGGAAAAATTAGTGAAAAGGTTAATATTTGCAATAAAATTCAATAAATTCGAGCATTTTAACTATAAAATATGACGACATTGTAAAAAGTCTCTGTGTGCGTGCATAAAACACATTTCAGGAAAAGAAAAGAGATTTTACTGAAAAATTATGTCTACAATTGTTGCAGCACAGTCCATATTTTAAAAATTGCAGGTTTTTGTAAATATTTCGCGAAAATATCAACCAGAAAAACAGAAATACCTGCTCCAAGTGAACATTTAGACGCCAAATGAATTGAAATATCACGACCGAAAGTGGTCGTCATGTAATCGTTGCATCATGATTGTGACGATGAAGCAACTATGATTGGACGACCAATGTGCAGAAAGCCTAAGTCGTAACTAGGAAGAAGTATTTTATCAAATTAAGGGAAAACAGACGAAATATGTAAAAATTAAGTTGGTAGAGGGCGGTTTTGATAATATTGAATAATCTTCAATTAAAATTTACAAAGATCGATCCATTTTAATCGGAAGATGAAATTAAATGCGTATTACAATTCGAATAAAGCTACATCACAATTTAATAATTGGAATAATTTAGATTAATTCTCAAATAATAAGCCAGTTTCACGCTAGTTATTTTAAAGTAAATTTGTGCATAACATTTAGATATCTACTATTTGTATGTTTCACAGCATGCTTTCGATAAACATCGACTTCACATCACTGCGGATGTTTTGGCTATTTCACACAATTAACAAGAAAATGATACATTATTCTTTTGCATAATCATGCAATGAAAATAAAAATTACATAAACGGATCATCAAACTTGACATTATTTAATAAAAATGTAATTTTTCCAAATTATCTTAAAGAAAAATCGATACATTTTCACACTCGGTTTGCTATATCGTAACCTAAGTCGAAACTACTTAGTAGAAGTCTGAAATGCGACTATGAAGAGAGGTAAATTTTAAGTTGGTACTTAAATTTAAGTTGCAACTTTGTTAGTTTCGACTTAGTTGCTGAACTATGAATACGCGCCTATCAGTTTTGCCACTCAAATGATTTGTCAAATGATAGTCAGTGTTCTTGCAGGGAAGTCACTTCGAAACACTTCACTTTTAAGGGCCATTCACATACAACTTTCCTCGCTTTGCTTGACAGTTCAAACTTTGACAACAAAGTGTGAAACGCAGAAGGTATGCTACAATAAACGATTTGACAGCTTTTGCGTTCTCGTTTTTCTCCATATATTTTCTCTATAAAATACATAACAATATAATAATATGCATTAATAATAGCAATAAAAATTCCTATTTACCCTATTTTTGTCATTAAATGCAAATGCAAGCGCACGAGGAAAGATACATGTAGACAGCTGATTGCCAAAGCGGGCAAAAGTTGAGAGTTGCCCAAGATATTGCTTCGTTTTGCTTTGCTTTGCTTCAAACGTTTTTTATGTGAGCATACTCATGCATATGCCTACATCCTCAGTATATACTGAGCCTACATCGATCTAATATGTCAAAGGAAAGAACTATCAAGCAAAGCGAAGAAAGTTGTATGTGAATCAGCCTTTCCACCTGATTTACATGATTCAAGTACTTGAAAGCAATTCTTGCTCATTCTCTTTTGTGTTTTTTATTTGCTTTTACACGTTTCAATTCTGTTGAATTCAAGTCTTTGGTTCTTTAAATGGGAAGCAACGAAAATGCCAAAAGCAAAGCAAGAAAGTTGAAACGACTTGACGGTACAGACGCATGTGTACTCGTCCCTTTTCTTCTCACCCCCTCTCTTCCATGTCCGAGCAGAATTGAATTCAATACTTGAACTGTGTAAAAGCACACTAAGTGTGTTTTCACTTCGCTCGCAAATTAGCATGAACGAAAGACACAAGATCACGCGGGAAGGAAAGGACGAAAAAAGTTATTTTCCAGCTGCCGAAATCTCGACGCCATCTTTGTTGTAAAAAGTAAACAACGAAGAGAACGGAGAAAACCGCGAAATTGTTGAACGCATTAAATAACCTTTTTTATTATGCAAATTCTTCTATAAATCATGCCGTTGTGTTAAATTATTCTTTATCTTATGTGTACGCACGTTGTCACAAGCGATAATGAAGAAAATTGCAGTAAAAAGCCACCACCAAATTGTAAACAACGAAGAAATGTAAACAAACGGCTAATGTCAAAATTGTTCTTTTTTTCCTAAATGCGATTCTAACGGGCTACTCTCCTGCCCGCGTGATCTTGTCTTTTTGGTTCATGGAAAATCATTAAACGACCGCACTAGTTACTGGATATTTTTTGCTTGAGAATACGAAAACACAACTATTTTTTACTCAACCAACCATCTCTAATTACTGCTTTCTTTTGTGCTGTCATTTCACAGCTGATATCGGAAACTCGTCGAAGTGTTCCCGAGCACCGCGTGGCACGGGGAAAACATTGCAGATTACTCATAAATTTGTGACCGAAAACGTAATAATTCGATCGATTGGTGTTAGTTATCCTGTATCTGAATTTTCGTACTGCAATAAAATGGAGCAACCAGTTTCCAACGGCGAAATAGAAAACCCAACGGCGCTTACAACCGGTGATGACCCGCCTAAAACAGCCAAGCAATTGGAAAAGGAAGCCAAAAAGGCTGAAAAACTGGCGAAGTTGCAGGCAAAATTGGGGAAAAAAGCAGCAGCACCTGCAGCCGCCGAAAAGAAGGAAAAGCCTGAGGTGAGTGCAAAGAACCTTCATTCGTGAGTGTCTCGAACATCAATCGGTGGGCACAATATAACTATACTGTGTTGGTGGGGGCCGGAGTGACCTATTACAATAGGTAATTGCTGTACTGTTCTGTTGTTTTTGTATCATGGTACGGTTGGTAATTGCATTGTTGGCATGGAAGTGAAAGCAAAATATATACAACAATTACGATGCTTTGCTTTGTGGTAATGTGTTTTGCGATTATGATTTCGAGCCCTAACCGCCAAAATAACGTAAGCGACACTTTTTTCAAAATTTTCTTTTTGATGCAGAAATATTCCTAGAGCATCTAGATGCATTTCTGCTTCAAAAAGAAAATTTTGAAAAAAATGTCGCTTACGTTATTTTGGCGGTTAGGGCTCGATTTATTAATGGCTTTTATAACATTACAGAAAAAAATTAAAGAGGCCAAAGAGGCTGCCGTGTATACAGCAAACACTGCTCCGGGCGTGAAGAAAGACATTACTGGTGCGTTACCGGACGCTTACAGCCCACGTTATGTTGAAGCACAGTGGTACGGCTGGTGGGAAAAGGAAGGCTTTTTCACGCCTGAATATGGTGTAAGTTTAATATTGCAAGCATAAATATTCGATATTGTAAACAATAACCGAGTCATAACTAAACTTTCTGCATATAAAGTTTTAAAAGCATTTTGGGCACGCCGAGGTGTAACCTTAATGCTGACGCAATCCTGAGCAATCATTCGTAAGTCAGGGGCGTTTGTTTGTTTTTTGCAGTAACTATTATTTATGCAATTATTATTTGTAATAATTTAATGCTTTTGAATAAGTATGTTTTTAATTAATTTTAAGCGCACTAGCTTATTAGAACCAAATCCTAAAGGAAAATTTGTGATGGTGATCCCGCCACCCAATGTGACAGGTTCACTACATTTGGGTCATGCATTGACGAATGCTATTGAGGATGCAATAACACGATTTCATCGTATGAAAGGATTCACCACCTTATGGGTACCTGGGTGTGATCACGCTGGCATTGCCACGCAAGTGGTGGTTGAAAAGAAGCTCTGGCGTGAAGAAAAGTTGACTCGACACGACTTGGGCCGTGAAAAGTTCATTGAAAAGATATGGGATTGGCGCCGTGAAAAAGGTGTGCGCATATACGATCAGCTTAAGAGTTTAGGCTCTTCGTATGACTGGACACGTGTCGCATTCACTATGGATCCCAAGTTATGTAAAGCTGTTACTGAAGCATTTGTACGTATGCATGAAGAAGGCAGTATTTATCGCAGTGCACGTCTTGTTAACTGGTCTTGCGCGCTACGTTCGGCTATTTCCGACATTGAAGTAGACAAAATAGATATACCCGGTAGAACTTTCTTCTCCATACCCGGTTATGATGAAAAGGTATAAATTGCAGATCCATCAATGTTTCTTATATAAATTTCTTATATAAAACTAAAAATTTTTGTTGCAGGTTGAATTTGGCGTTTTAATCAAATTTGCATATAAGGTGGAGAATTCCGATGAGGAAGTTATCGTGGCTACAACTCGTATTGAAACAATGTTGGGCGATACCGCTGTCGCCGTACATCCGCAAGATGAACGTTACAAGCATTTACACGGCAAATTCGTGCAGCACCCATTCTGCGAGCGGCGTATACCAATCGTTGTAGATGATTTTGTTGATATGAACTTTGGTACGGGTGCAGTGAAGATTACACCAGCCCATGATCCCAATGACTACGAAGTAGGAAAGCGCTGTAATTTACCATTCATCACTATATTCAATGACGATGGTTATATCATCGGTGACTATGGCGAGTTTAAGGGCATGAAACGTTTCGATTGCCGTAAACGCATACTAGAAAAACTAAAAGAACTGGGCTTGTATCGCGAGACCGTCAATAATCCCATGGTCGTGCCCTTCTGCAGTCGTTCCAAGGATGTAGTTGAACCCATGATTAAGCCACAATGGTGTGTTTCGTAAATTACTTTGAGAATAAGTTTTATAACTGTTGCTTTTCGATCATTTTGCAGGTATGTGAAATGTGATCAGCTGGCTGCCGATGCTACTGAAGCTGTGCGCAAGGGTGATTTGAAAATTATACCAGAACATCACAAAAAAATCTGGTACCACTGGATGGAGGGCATACGCGACTGGTGTGTGTCGCGTCAGCTGTGGTGGGGTCACCGCATTCCTGCTTATCATGTGAGCTTCAATGATGAAAGCGTAAAAAGTGGAACGGTACGTAATTTTAATTTAATAGTATATTTTTAAGGGTACGATATAATTTTTAAAATTGTATTCCTAATAAAAAGCCTAAAGAAGATGAGGGTCGGGTAAGCCTAACTAGATTCCCTTGTGTTAAATACTGAAATTATATAAAACACATGTATGCAAATATTTACCGTTTGTTGTTCTTTTCAGCCCAATGACGAAAACTACTGGATTGTGGCGCGTTCGGAAGAGGAGGCACTTAAAAAGGCTGCTGGAAAATTCGATGTGGATCCCAGCAAAATAGTCCTGCATCAAGATGAAGATGTACTGGACACATGGTTTAGTTCGGGGCTTTACCCCTTCTCCGTATTCGGCTGGCCTGACAACACAGCTGATTTGCAGGCCTTCTATCCTACAACATTACTTGAGACTGGTCATGACATACTCTTCTTCTGGGTTGCTCGTATGGTATTCTTTGGGCAAAAACTGCTTGGAAAGTTGCCGTTCAAGGAAGTCTATCTCCATCCAATGGTGCGCGATGCACATGGCCGAAAAATGTCCAAATCTCTGGGCAATGTTATTGATCCCATGGACGTTATTAAGGGCATTTCTCTGGAGGATTTACACAAGCTACTTTACGATTCCAATCTAGATCCACGCGAAATTGAAAAGGCCAAAGCTGGGCAAAAACAAGACTTCCCAAACGGCATACCCGAATGTGGCTCAGATGCGCTACGCTTTGCTCTATGTGCCTACATTACACAAGCGCGTGACATCAATTTAGATATAAATCGAGTGCAGGGTTATCGTTTTTTCTGTAATAAGTTATGGAATGCAACGAAGTTTGCGCTGATGTACTTCAGTGGCGATGAGAAGTATTCGGCAGATTTGCCTCTCAGCGGAAATGAAAACAACATGGATTTGTGGGTGCTATCACGTTTGGCCACTGCTATCGACACATGCAACACTGGATTCGCGCAGTATGACTTTGCAGCTGTGACGAGCGCTTGCTACAGTTTTTGGCTATACGATTTGTGTGATGTCTACTTAGAGTGCGTCAAGCCGATCTTCCAAAACGGGAGCGAGGAACAGAAAGCCGCTGCTCGTCGTACTCTCTTTATATGCTTAGATTTTGGTCTGCGGATTTTATCACCTTTCATGCCGTTTATTACCGAAGAGTTATTCCAACGACTGCCACGTGTGGACACTACACCAAGTATATGTGTGGCTGCCTACCCAGGTGAGCGCGTTACAATTTGCTATATAAAAATTGGTATCCTCATTAGTCTTGGTTTTAACTGCAGAAAACGTTAGTTGGCACAACGAAAAAGTCGAAAAAGAAGTTGAGTTTATGCAGAAAGCTGCCCGTATAATACGTTCAGCGCGCTCTGATTACAATCTGCCTAATAAAGTGAAAACCGAGGCGTACATTGTTTGCACCGATGAGCAACCCAATGCTATATTGAAGAAATATTCCGGTGATTTGACGACGATTGCTTTCTGTTCTAAGATCGAATTCGTTACTGAACCCCCGGCAGGTTGCGCTATACTAACTGTTAGCGCGCAATGTGAAGTGCATTTGCTGCTTAAAGGTCTCATTGAATCGGATAAGGAAATTACCAAGTTGCAGAAGCGGAAAGAACAGTTAGACCAAACTGTGAAAAGGTTGAAGCAAGCGATGCAGGCAGCTGATTATGCAACTAAAGTACCCGCTGAAGTGCAAACAATCAATTCCGAAAAACTACAGCAATCGGAGGGTGAAGTCCAACGCATTATCGCAGCTATTGAGACGTTGCAACTAATGTAGGCACAAAGTATTTTCCCGGGGGTGCTGATGCACCTGAATACACACTGCTCTTACCACTACGCATTTATGCTTTGCTTGGCATTCAAATTTAATTTCTGTTTTTTTCCCCCGAAGCATATTTTATTAGTTAACTTAATTTATTTTTAGAACAGTGGTTATTACTAAATTTTTAAATATTACTAATATAACGATGTGAACTTGAGGATTTGAATGTTATCAAGCGCTAGTTTAAAAGATATTAAAAAGTTTGGGGAGAAATTCTTTGTTATTGATTGTGGTTAAGAGATTATATTGAAACAACTGAATCCAATCCGTATAAACATGGAAAGTTACTGTCGATATACAAACACTTTTATTGTCCAAATAGATGGTTTAACATACTTAATATTTATATGTATGTACTATATATATGTATATAGACGTGACTCTAAATTAAAATCTCAAATAAATTTACTCTGCGGCCCCTAGCTCAATTTTACAGTTCGGTAATGCCTTCCTCAATTTTGTTGCCACTCCTTGTAAATCCTTCACATATATCAAATCGAATAAACGCACCTGTTCCAGCACTGGCAATTGAGTTATTACATCGAGACAACTGTCTCTAAGATTGTAACAAGCAGAAACTTGCAATTTTTTGAGGGTCTCTTTCAAATGTACCAAGCCTTCAAGCCCGCCATCCTCAAGGTGCTTACAATTGTGTAGAACAACAGTGTCGATGTGTCGACAACCAGCAAAATGATCGAGACCCATCTTCATAACAGATGAATTCGAAGCATCAACTACCTGTACATTGAATTTAACGGATTCTGGTGGCAGACTGTTGTAGTCCTTTACGACTCTGTTCGGCATGCCCACTAAACCGACACCGCCGCCATTTTTAAGTAGCCATTCAGCGCAAAGCCGATCTGGACCAACTTTGTTGAGGCGGTCGTTGTCCACTTTGTTGAATGCAATCGCTACATAGCCCCATAGCGGGCGCAATTGCAGCTGTGTTCTCTGCGCATTGAGGATAGTTGAAATCTTGTGAGCCACATAATAGTTTCTGCCCGCGACGAGAGTCGTGAAAGCGCGTCGACAATGAGAAATTAAACTTGTTTTGGAAATAAATTGTAAAAAAACCATTGCCGCAAATTTACTTTTTTGGTATAGTCGGGCCTATTCCAGTGGATCCTTTTAAGACGAGGATAAAAAATTGTTCTTGTACCCGCAGATTTCCTTATTAGTTTTCTTGTGCAATTTACTATGGTGATCAGCATATGCCCTCAGATGAGTTTGTTTATCAAGAGAGTAGAGCTGGTATACTATCTATAGTTGAAAACTGTCGCCACTATCGACATTCATTTTCTTATAATATGGTAAAATATGAACAATTTCCTTTGTTCCGATTTTGATATACGCCTCCGTATTTGATCTCAGTTGAACTTTTATAAGTATGAGCTGTCAATTTAAACGAATATATTTTGTTTTGTAGTGCCTTGCTACGATTACAGTTCAATGCGGACAACGAGAGAATTATAGAACGTTCCATGCAGTGTTGCCATTTTGATCTATATGCCNATTTACTATGGTGATCAGCATATGCCCTCAGATGAGTTTGTTTATCAAGAGAGTAGAGCTGGTATACTATCTATAGTTGAAAACTGTCGCCACTATCGATAGTTCTTAAAAGCTTTCGATGTCGGTTTTAGCGAAACTTCTCCTTTAACATTACATTAATTGTTTACCAAGAAAATCACAATACAGTCGGCAAAAAAAATTTTTAGTGNAGAGTAGAGCTGGTATACTATCTATAGTTGAAAACTGTCGCCACTATCGACATTCATTTTCTTATAATATGGTAAAATATGAACAATTTCCTTTGTTCGGATTTTGATATACGCCTCCGTATTTGATCTCAGTTGAACTTTTATAAGTATGAGCTGTCAATTTAAACGAATATATTTTGTTTTGTAGTGCCTTGCTACGATTACAGTTCAAAGCGGACAACGAGAGAATTATAGAACGTTCCATGCAGTGTTGCCATTTTGATCTATATACTTCAAAAGTGGCACGTCTTTGTGCAAATTTACGGAAGATACTTTATTTCTTCGCTCATTTCGGGAGATACTTAAATTTTTCGGTTAGTACAAGTCTTGATACATGTTAAAGGTAAAATATTTATTTATGTATGCAGTGGCAGCTTTTAAAGTTTGATCGAAAATATTGAAACGTTTTAGGGTCAAATAAGCTTAAAGAAAAATGCTTTGAATGAACTACATTCATTTTTAATTTATTTTACTTGTAACATAAATAGCTCTGCAGCTGCATAGCGTATATTTTCAGATTTAAAATTGGTCCAATATGAAAAGAGAAATAGAATTTCATTACAAACTGTTGAGAATATGATGTGGCGTACNTTACATTAATTGTTTACCAAGAAAATCACAATACAGTCGGCAAAAAAAATTTTTAGTGATTGGAATTTTTAGCAACTATAAGCTTACACTGAGTTATAGTAAAATTTAATAAGCTATAAAACCGCTTACACAAAATTGTTATAGAAATTCGAATTAAAAAGCTTGAAATTTTAATGGTTTTGTAGTTTTTTTACGTTTTGTACAACTTTTATAAAAAATTAGTAGACACTAAACAAACAAAAAATAGTCAAAACTGCTAAAATGTTGTGGTGCTATTATTTTGACCAGTACTTCATTTTCTTATAATATGGTAAAATATGAACAATTTCCTTTGTTCGGATTTTGATATACGCCTCCGTATTTGATCTCAGTTGAACTTTTATAAGTATGAGCTGTCAATTTAAACGAATATATTTTGTTTTGTAGTGCCTTGCTACGATTACAGTTCAAAGCGGACAACGAGAGAATTATAGAACGTTCCATGCAGTGTTGCCATTTTGATCTATATACTTCAAAAGTGGCACGTCTTTGTGCAAATTTACGGAAGATACTTTATTTCTTCGCTCATTTCGGGAGATACTTAAATTTTTCGGTTAGTACAAGTCTTGATACATGTTAAAGGTAAAATATTTATTTATGTATGCAGTGGCAGCTTTTAAAGTTTGATCGAAAATATTGAAACGTTTTAGGGTCAAATAAGCTTAAAGAAAAATGCTTTGAATGAACTACATTCATTTTTAATTTATTTTACTTGTAACATAAATAGCTCTGCAGCTGCATAGCGTATATTTTCAGATTTAAAATTGGTCCAATATGAAAAGAGAAATAGAATTTCATTACAAACTGTTGAGAATATGATGTGGCGTACTCATAGTAAAAATAAAGTCGACACTGAAGGCAGTCTCAGCTTTTTGACATAATTTCCAACGAGTTTAACGTGGAATGTGTCGCATAATTTGATAATTAATGTAAATGATCGACAGCTAATAGTTTTAAGTATGTACATAGTATATTTGAATTCAAGTTTCTATAAAGTCTATACATAATGGGCCGTATGAATAAAAACTAAGCAATTGCTTTTTCCTAAAATTGCATACCTTATACTTCAATTTTGTTTGAATAAATTGAGTAAAAGATCTGAAAATTTAAGAAAAAGCACAATATTTTTGTTCAAGATTATACAAGATTAAAAACAATAATCTCTTTTCCGATAGATTTTCAGGATTTTAAAGTATTGTGAAAGGTTTCACAATTTTTTTAAGAATTTTCTTTAAGAAATTGTACAGAAATTTACTAGTTCTCGTAAACCGCTTCATATATTTTTCTTTATAGATTGCTTAACGAATCGTAACAAATTTCCGATACTCTTTAAGATTTCAGGAGAATTTGTTTGCAGGGTATATATTTACGTACATATATGTGTACGTATACGCGGATATTTAAACAAAGCAAACCAGGCGATAATTTGATACAAGCTTATAAGAAGAAGCATGNTTCATTTTCTTATAATATGGTAAAATATGAACAATTTCCTTTGTTCGGATTTTGATATACGCCTCCGTATTTGATCTCAGTTGAACTTTTATAAGTATGAGCTGTCAATTTAAACGAATATATTTTGTTTTGTAGTGCCTTGCTACGATTACAGTTCAAAGCGGACAACGAGAGAATTATAGAACGTTCCATGCAGTGTTGCCATTTTGATCTATATACTTCAAAAGTGGCACGTCTTTGTGCAAATTTACGGAAGATACTTTATTTCTTCGCTCATTTCGGGAGATACTTAAATTTTTCGGTTAGTACAAGTCTTGATACATGTTAAAGGTAAAATATTTATTTATGTATGCAGTGGCAGCTTTTAAAGTTTGATCGAAAATATTGAAACGTTTTAGGGTCAAATAAGCTTAAAGAAAAATGCTTTGAATGAACTACATTCATTTTTAATTTATTTTACTTGTAACATAAATAGCTCTGCAGCTGCATAGCGTATATTTTCAGATTTAAAATTGGTCCAATATGAAAAGAGAAATAGAATTTCATTACAAACTGTTGAGAATATGATGTGGCGTACTCATAGTAAAAATAAAGTCGACACTGAAGGCAGTCTCAGCTTTTTGACATAATTTCCAACGAGTTTAACGTGGAATGTGTCGCATAATTTGATAATTAATGTAAATGATCGACAGCTAATAGTTTTAAGTATGTACATAGTATATTTGAATTCAAGTTTCTATAAAGTCTATACATAATGGGCCGTATGAATAAAAACTAAGCAATTGCTTTTTCCTAAAATTGCATACCTTATACTTCAATTTTGTTTGAATAAATTGAGTAAAAGATCTGAAAATTTAAGAAAAAGCACAATATTTTTGTTCAAGATTATACAAGATTAAAAACAATAATCTCTTTTCCGATAGATTTTCAGGATTTTAAAGTATTGTGAAAGGTTTCACAATTTTTTTAAGAATTTTCTTTAAGAAATTGTACAGAAATTTACTAGTTCTCGTAAACCGCTTCATATATTTTTCTTTATAGATTGCTTAACGAATCGTAACAAATTTCCGATACTCTTTAAGATTTCAGGAGAATTTGTTTGCAGGGTATATATTTACGTACATATATGTGTACGTATACGCGGATATTTAAACAAAGCAAACCAGGCGATAATTTGATACAAGCTTATAAGAAGAAGCATGGCTTCTATCGCTATCACCTGTAGTTGGTACGCCTTGAGAGCGTTCGAGGTCGAGAGACTTCTGCGCCGAATATTGGCAAGGCGAATTTTTACGGGGTGGTGTTACTAGCTGATTTTCTGTTAATGTTTCGGCACATGGCCTACAATGTCAAATTTAAAATTTTGTTGGTATTTCCATAAGGCCTGTATGCAGTTCTCAAGAAAAGCTAAAATTCCATACAAAATGACGTACAAGAAATGGCTAAGAAATTTTCTTGAGTCAAAGTTTTCTAGTACGGTTTTCTAAAGTTTTTTGTGAAAACAGAGCACAAGGCAACCCAGGCTTGCAACAGAAATATATGCCCGTTCCATTATTTCTTGAGGAAAGAGCAAGGCGCATCAATTACAGGTGATAGCGATAGAAGCTATGCTTCTTCTTATGAGCACGCTTGTGTCAAATTATCGTCTGTTTTGCTTTATTTACATCTCCGCGTATACATACACATATACGTCTATATATACCCTACACACAAATGCTCCCGAAATCTTTAAGAGTGTCGGAAATTTGTTACGATTCCTTTATAAATCTTTAAAGAAAAACATATGAAACGGTTGACAAGAACTAGTAAAGAAATTTCTGTACGATTTCTTAAAGGAAATTATAAAAAAATTGTGAAACCTTTCAGAATTCTATGAAATCCTGGTATGCAGGGTATACATATACATACGAATATGAATAGATAAAGAAGATGTTGATGACACAAGGAGTTCATACCAACGGTAAATGTTGTTTTTGTACGATTGCTACAACCTGTAGTTGTTGAATCATGAGGAAAGAGTGAGGCAACAGGCTGTGAGGTATAAAAAATGTCAAAATTCCTTGGACACACACGCGACATAATGGCAATTTTTTCTTGACCAACTACAGGTGAACCACATGATTAGGCGTGCAAACGATGCATCGTTGTTTTTGAAACATCGATAATATCGGTTCAATTTTCGATGTTTGCCTTCGATGTTTACAATTTACTAACATCGCGAAATTGACGAAACATCGATGGAAGTTTTACCGATGTTTTACACATCGACTTAAAGGAGACTCTCCGACTTTCTTTCGGTATATTTGACCGACCTTAAATTTATTATTCATTCAGAATTTTTCTTGAGACCGTTTCTTATGAANCATGGCCTACAATGTCAAATTTAAAATTTTGTTGGTATTTCCATAAGGCCTGTATGCAGTTCTCAAGAAAAGCTA